AATGTTGGGGTTGTGAGAATTTAAATTTGTTACATGTGAGGGTCGGAATACTTTCCGAATGCACTGTATAACCTCAGTAACAGTTAAACATTTAATTTGTTACATGTGTCAAATCTCCAACTCAGACATAAACAAATGTACCTGACATATAATTAGGCACGCCTCTCCATTATTTTGTATGAAATTGTGCAAACATACTCCAAACATATCGCAGTGCGTGTCAGGATATCACTTCGCTCTGAAGCTTGCAGACTTGCTGGCTCGGTCGAAGTGGCTATATGAGGGTCTAATTTTCACTCCCTCAGCTTTGGGACACGAAGGTGTGCATGAACACGTAAATGGAGGGCTGAGGGGCGAGGAGAAGGGGGTGATTTGGGATTCAGCGCCTCTGTCTTCTGGAGAGGTGGAGATGGAGGGAACTTGTAGTTTTGTCAGGTGACATTCAATCATCTCTCCACTCTCTGCTCCCCAACAAAATAATAATAATAATCATAATAATCATCATCATCATAATAATATCCAAAGCGACTTACAGTCATGCGTGCATACATTTTAGGTACCCAGGCATTACAAGCACCATGCTTTACAAAGTGAACTACAGAGGACCAACAGGCGAACTACAGAGGACCAACACAGAGCCCCCTTCCACTTCCTCTTCCTCTTCTCCTCTGTCTCCTCTCCCCCTCTCCAGCCCTCCTCTCCGCCTCCGCAGTCCTCTCCTCCCATCCCCAGTCCTCCACTCCCCCTCTCCAGCCCTTCTCTATGGTTAGTTCTCTCCTCCCCTCGCCTCCTCCCCTCGCCTCCTCCCCAGTCCTCTCCTCCTCTCCTCCCTCTATGGTTTGTAGCAGGCAGAGCAGGTCCCAGGTTGTGAGTCGTCTAGCTATGGTTTGTAGCAGGCAGAGCAGGTCCCAGGTTGTGAGTCGTCTAGTTTTGGAGAGATGGTGTCTGGGATCACTGACTTTAGGATGTCATTCTCTGTAGCCATGATGTGTTTCACCAGGAAGTTGGCTGCCTCGTTGATGTTAGTGTTCTCCTAAAGGGACACAGCAGAATAACAACATCATGGTTAAAAGCTAGTGGCTAGTTTCAGCTATGAGCTGTTGCCTTGTTAGGGTTAAACGAAAACAGGTGCTACGTTAACGTTGTTCAGTACAGTTTATATAAACACCTTTTCATTATACAAAGAGGTGTTTTTATTGATCCTTACAGTGCATATGGAAAGTATTCAGACCCCTTGACCTTTTCCACATTTTGTTACGTTACAGCCTTATTCTAAAATTGATTACATTATTTTTGTTCCTTATCAATCTACACACAATAACCCATAATGACAAAGCGAAAACAGGTTCTTAGAAATGTTTGCAAACTAATAAAAAATAAAAAACAGAAAAACCTTATTTACATAAATATTCAGACCCTTTGCTATGAGACTCAGAATTGAGCTCATGTGCATCCTGTTTCCATTGCTCATCCTTGAGATGTTTCTACAACTTGATTGGAGTCCACCTGTGGTAAATTCAATTGATTGGACATGATTTGGAAAGGCACACACCTGTCTGTATAAGGTCCCACAGTTGAAAGTGCATGTCAGAGCAAAAAGCAATGAGGTCAAAGGAATTGTCTGTAGAGCTCCGAGACAGGATTGTGTCGAGGCACAGATCTGGGGAAGGGTACCAAAACATTTCTGCAGCATTGAAGGTCCCCAAGAACACAGTGGCCTCCATCATTCTTAAATGGAAGAAGTTTGGAACCACCAAGACTCTTCCTAGAGCAGGCCGCCCGGCCAAACTGAGCAATCGGGGGAGAAGGGCCTTGGTCAGGGAGGTGACCAAGAACCCGATGGTCACTCTGACAGAGCTCCAGAGTTCCTCTGTGGAGACGGGAGAACATTCCAGAAGGACAACCATCTCTGCAGCACTCCACCAATCAAGCCTTTATGGTAGAGTGGCCAGAGGAAGCCACTCCTCAGTAAAAGGCATATGACAGCCCGCTTGGAGATTGCCAAAATGCTTCTAAAGGACTCTCAGACCATAAGAAACAAGATTCTCTAGTCTGATGAAACCAAGATTGAACTCTTTTGCCTGAATGCCAAGCGTCACATCTGGAGGAAACCTTGCACCATCCCTACGGTGAAGCATGGTGGTGGCAGCATCATGCTGTGGGGATGGTTTTCAGCGGCAGGGACTGGGAGACTAGTCAGTATCGAAGGAAAGATTAATGGAGAAAAGTACAGAGAGATCCTTGATGAAAACCTGCTCCAGAGCGCTCAAGACCTCAGACTGGGGTGAAGGTTCACCTTCCAACAGGACAACGACCCTAAGCACACAGCCAAGACAACGCAGGAGTGGCTTCGGGAAAAGTCTCTGAATGTCCTTGAGTGGCCCAGCCAGAGCCCGGACTTGAACCCGATCGAACATCTCTTGAGAGACCTGAAAATAGCTGTGCAGCGATGCTCCCCATCCAACCTGACAGAACTTGAGAGGATCTGCAGAGAAGAATGGGAGAAACTCCCTAAATACAGGTGTGCCAAGCTTGTACCGTCATACCCAAGAAGACTCGAGGCTGTAATTGCTGCGAAAGGTGCTTCAACAAAGTACTGAGAAAAGGGTCTGAATACTTATGTAAATTTGATTTTTTATTTTTGTATTTGTAATACATTGTGATTATTACGTATTGTGTGTAGATTGATGAGGGGGGAAAAACAATTTAATCCATTTTAGAATAAGGCTGTAACATAACAAAATGTGGAAAAAGTCAAGGGGTCTGAATACTTTCCGAATGCACTGTACACAGGTAAAACAGCCTGGTTAAACTGATTTAGAAGCAGTGGGAATGTTTAGTGACTGTCTGACTCGACAGCAGCTTAGCCTATGACCTCATTGACCTCTGACCCCTATAGAACATCCTCGCCAGGGAGAGTGCAGTGACCTGAGGGAGAAGACTCCTAACAAGTTCTTTAGAGTAATCTGTGCGAAAGGATTATGGCTCTGTGTTAGGATAGAGAATGGCTGAATTGAAAAGGTTTATGGCTGTGTGTCTCAGTCCATTCTCTTATGGAATACATCAGGAGGGTCCATTCTGCAGGTACCAGATTAGGTTTGGACCTGGTGAAATGTGGAAACCATCCACTTGAGGAAACGTGAGCACCTATTACCTTCTAGAAGGCTTGCGGCTGGCTCGTGGATGGAGGATGGATGTTTAAGCTGCAAACTCTGGCTCCAAAGGTCGTATGTTCAATCCCAGTGCTAGGCACTAGTTTTTTATTGTTGTTGTTGTTGTTGTCTTAAGCGTTTTCCAAACCTTAACCCTTAACTTAACCACTCAGAATGAATGCCTAAATGTAAGTTGAACCCGATCCCTAACCTTAACCCTTAACTTAACCACTCAGAATTAATGCCTAAATGTAAGTTGAACCCGATCCCTAACCTTAACCCTTAATTTAACCACTCAGAATTAATGCCTAAATGTAAGTTGAACCCGATCCCTAACCTTAACCCTTACCTTAACCACACAGAATTAATGCCTAAGCTTAAGTTGAACCCTAACCCTAACCTTAACCCTTAACTTAACCACTATGAATTACTGCCTAAATGTAAGTTTTAGTTTCACTTTTGTGGAGTTTGACTGACAGCTAAGAAATGGCACCACATGGCGTAATTATGTTGCTGCAGTTATACCACTGGTTGGAGATTGGGTTGGTGTGTCTGTATAGAGGATGGCTGAATGAGGACACTGTCCCACAAAGCTGTTGTGCATGTTTTGTGTGTGTGTGTGTGCACGTGTGTGCTTTTGTGTGTGCGTTTGTGCGTGCGTGTTTGTTTCCACCTTGGCTGAGGTCTCGAACCAGCCGACAAAGCCATTGTCTTTACAGAACTGGTCCATCTTCAAGCCGTTATTGGTCAGAACCTCCCGCCCCTGGTCACATTTATTAGCCAATAGGACTGTGGCGATGCTCTGTCCAATAGAGAGGTAAAATATAAGAAGGTGATGCATGAACAAGATGATTTAAACAGTACTTTTACTAAAAGTATTTGCAATGGTAGAATCAACTCATTTACACGGCGCACATTTGAACCTGTCACTGTCCTGTACTCACCTCTTTGTTGGTCAGCATGAGTTTAGAGTCCAGGTCCTCCTTCCACTTGGTGATGGCTTCGAAGGTAGACGGCCGTGTCACGTCAAACACGATGAACGCCCCCATCGCCTCTCTGTAGTACACACGGGTCATGTTCCCAAACCGCTCCTGACCTACAGGGGAGAGAGAGAGAGACACAGATATACTGTTATTGCAACTGGTGGGATTTGATCCCTGGTCTCCCACATGGTAACCCAAAACGCTCACCATTAGACCAAGAGAAGATCTTCGTGATCTGAGGACGACAATTGTGTTCCATGTCTCAGGCAGGACTAATCAGTAACATTATCTTCCATGTCTCAGGCAGGACTAATCAGTAACATTATCTTCCATGTCTCAGGCAGGACTACTCAGTAACATTGTCTTTCATGTCTCAGGCAGGACTAATCAGTAACATTATCTTCCATGTCTCAGGCAGGACTAATCAGTAACATTATCTTCCATGTCTCAGGCAGGACTAATCAGTAACATTGTCTTTCATGTCTCCAGCAGGAAAAGGTTACCACCACTGTTCAGGAGACAGAAGGAAAAGGTGCAGAGAAACTCTTCCTGTGGTTGCTTAGTGATGAGTGTTGCTACTACTCTACAGATAGCCAGCTACAGCTCATTCCATTCTGTAGTCTAGGGGACGAACAGAAAAACAGTGGATAACGTGGTTATATTAGTGGCCATTCCAGAGACAGTTAACAGTCTCCACATTCCAGAGTGAGTTAACAGCAGTCTCCACATTCCCAGTCATTATAGAGGCCCAGTGAAGCAACACATTCTCCAGGTCTGAGTCTCACAGAACTCCTTTAGTCTAGTCTGGTCTAGTCTGGTCTAGTCTATTCTAGTCTGGTCTAGTCTAGTCTGGTCTGGTCTAGTCTATTCTAGTCTGGTTTAGTCTTGTTTTGTCTAGTCTGGTCTGGTCTAGTCTGGTCTAGTCTGGTCTGGTCTGGTCTAGTCTGGTCTAGTCTAGTCTAGTCTGGTCTAGTCTGGTCTGGTCTAGTCTGGTCTGGTCTGGTCTAGTCTATTCTAGTCTGGTTTAGTCTTGTTTTGTCTAGTCTGGTCTGGTCTAGTCTGGTCTGGTCTAGTCTGGTCTAGTCTGGTCTGGTCTAGTCTGGTCTGGTCTGGTCTGGTCTGGCCTAGTCTGGTCTGGTCTAGTCTGGTCTAGTCTGGCCTAGTCTGGTCTAGTCTAGTCTGGTCTAGTCTGGTCTAGTCTAGTCTAGTCTAGTCTGGTCTGGTCTGGTCTAGTCTGGTCTAGTCTAGTCTATTCTAGTCTGGTTTAGTCTTGTTTTGTCTAGTCTGGTCTAGTCTGGTCTAGTCTGGTCTGGTCTGGTCTGGTCTGGTCTAGTCTGGTCTGGTCTAGTCTAGTCTGGTCTAGTCTGGTCTAGTCTAGTCTAGTCTAGTCTGGTCTGGTCTGGTCTAGTCTGGTCTGGTCTAGTTTGGTCTGGTCTAGTCTGGTCTAGTCTGGTCTAGTCTGGTCTGGTCTGGTCTAGTCTGGTCTAGTCTGGTCTGGTCTAGTCAATCAATCAATTTTATTTTATATAGCCCTTCTTACATCAGCTAATATCTCGAAGTGCTGTACAGAAACCCAGCCTAAAACCCCAAACAGCTAGTAATGCAGGTGTAGAAGCACGGTGGCTAGGAAAAACTCCCTAGAAAGGCGAAAACCTAGGAAGAAACCTAGAGAGGAACCAGGCTATGAGGGGTGGCCAGTCCTCTTCTGGCTGTGCCGGGTGGAGATTATAACAGAACCATGCCAAGATGTTCAAAAATGTTCATAAGTGACAAGCATGGTCAAATAATAATCAGGAATAAATCTCAGTTGGCTTTTCATAGCCGATCATTAAGAGTTGAAAACAGCAGGTCTGGGACAGGTAGGGGTTTCGTAGCCGCAGGCAGAACAGTTGAAACTGGAATAGCAGCAAGGCCAGGCGGACTGGGGACAGCAAGGTGTCATCATGCCCGGTAGTCCTGACGTATGGTCCTAGGGCTCAGGTTCTCAGAGAGAAAGAGAGAACGAGAGAATTAGAGAGAGCATACTTAAATTCACACAGGACACTGGATAAGACAGGAGAAGTACTCCAGGTATAACCAACTAACCCCAGCCCCCCGACACATAAACTACTGCAGCATAAATACTGGAGGCTGAGACAGGAGCGGTCCGGAGACACTGTGGCCCCATCCGAAGAAACCCCCGGACAGGGCCAAACAGGAAGGATATAACCCCACCCACTCCGCCAAAGCACAGCCCCCGCACCACTAGAGGGATATCCCCAACCACCAACTTACAATCCTGAGACAAGGCCGAGTATAGCCCACAGAGGTCTCCACCACAGCACAAACCAAGGGGGGGGCGCCAACCCAGACAGGAAGATCACGTCAGTAACTCAACCCACTCAAGTGACGCACCCCTCCCAGGGACGGCATGAAAGAGCACCAGCAAGCCAGTGACTCAGCCCCTGCAACAGGGTTAGAGGCAGAGAACCCCAGTGGAGAGGGGAACCGGCCTGGCAGAGACAGCAAGGGCTGTTCGTTGCTCCAGCCTTTCCGTTCACCTTCACACTCCTGGGCCAGACTACACTCAATCATATGACCTACTGAAGAGATAAGTCTTCAGTAAAGACTTAAAGGTTGAGACCGAGTCTGCGTCTCTCACATGGGTAGGCAGACTGTTCCATAAAAATGGAGATCTATAGGAGAAAGCCCTGCCTCCCGCTGTTTGCTTAGAAATTCTAGGGACAATTAGGAGGCCTGCGTCTTGTGACCGTAGCGTACGTATTGGTATGTACGGCAGGACCAACTCGGAAAGATAGGTAGGAGCAAGCCCATGTAACGCTTTATAGGTTAACAGTAAAACCTTGAAATCAGCCCTTGCCTTAACAGGAAGCCAGTGTAGGGAAGCTAGCACTGGAGTAATATGATCAAATTTCTTGGTTCTAGTCAGGATTCTAGCAGCCGTATTTAGCACTAACTGAAGTTTATTTAGTGCTTTATCCGGGTAGCCGGAAAATAGAGCATTGCAGTAGTCTAACCTAGAAGTAACAAATGCATGGATTAATTTTTCTGCATCATTTTTGGACAGAAAATTTCTGATTTTTGCAATGTAGTGATGGAAAAAGGTCCTGAGAAAATTTGATAGTTCGCAAAGAGGATCAGGGTAAGTAGCAGTCCTAACTTAAACCACTCAGAATGAATGATGCCTAAATGTAAGTTGACACCCGATCCTAACCTTAACCCTTACCTTACCCACTCAGAATTAATGCCTAAATGTAAGTTAGAACCCATCCCTAACCTACCCTTATTACCCACTCATAATTAACTGCCTAAATGTAAGGTGAACCCGTCCCTAACCTAACCCTTACCTTAACCAACAGAATTATGCCTCGCTTAATTGAACCTAACCCTAACCTTAACCCCTTAACTCAAAACCACTATGATTACTGCCTAAATGTAAGTTTTAGTTTCACTTTTGTGGAGTTTGACTGACAGCTAAGGAAATGGCACCGACATGGCGTAATTATGTTGCTGTGGAAAAGCAGTTAGACCACTGTTTGGAGATTGTGTTGGTGGGTCTGTATAGAGATGAGCTGAATGATTACACGTCCCACAAAGCGTTGTGCTGTTGTTTGTGTGTGTGTGTGTGCACGTGTGTGCGTTTGTTGTGCCGTTTTGTGCGTGCGTGTTGGGGTTTTCCTCCTCACCTTGGCTGAGGTCTCTACCGCCGACAAGGCCATTGTCTTTACAGACCTGCCTGTCTTCAAAGCCGTTTAATGGTCAGACTCCCGCCCCTGGGTCACATTTATTAGCCAATATGACTGTGTGCGTGCTCTGTCCATAAGAGGTAAATATAAGAAGGTTATGCTGTAACCAGATGATTTAAACAGTACTTTTTACTAAAGTATTTGCTGGTAGAATCAACTCATTTACCAACGGCGCCCATTTGAACTGTCACTGTCCTGTACTCCACCTCTTTGTGGTCAGGCATGAGTTTGAGTCCCAGGTCCTCCTTCCACTTGGTGATGCTTCGACGGTAACGGCCGTGTCACGTCAAACACGATGAGCGACGCCCCCATCGCCTCTCCTGTATTACACACGGGTCATGTTCCCACCGCTCTCTAGACTACGGGGATAGAGAAGAGAGACACAGATATACTGTGTATGGCAACTGGTGTGATTTGCTCCCTGTTATCACCAGGTAACCTAAAACGGGAACGCTCACCATCAGACCAAGAGAAGATCTTCGTGATCTTAGGACGACAATTGTGTTCCATTTACTCAGGCCTGACTATCAGTAATTAATCTTTCCATGTCATCGGCAGGACTACTCAGTACCATTATCTTCCATGTCTCAGTCAGGACTACTCATTAACATTGTCTTTCATGTCTCGGCAGACTAGTCAGTAACATTATCTTCCATGTTCTCAGGCAGGACTAATCTTAACATTATCTTCCATGCTCAGGCAGGTCTAAATCAGTAACCTTGGCTTTCATGTGCTTCCAGCAGGAAAATTGTTCCACCACTTTTCAGGAGACAGTAAGGAAAAGGTGCCAGAGAAACTCTTCCTGTGGTTTGCTTAGTGAGTAGTGTTGCTACTACTCTACAGATAGCCATCCCCAGCTCAGCTCATTCCTTCTTTAGTCGGGGACGAACAGCAAACAGTGGATAACGTTGGGTATATTATGGCCATCTCCAGAGACATTTAACCAGGCCTCCACATTCCAGATTGAGTTACAGCAGTCTCTCCACACTTCCATCCTTTAGAGGCCCAGTGGCAACACATTCTCCAGTCGGTCTTCACTGAACTCCTTTGTCTATCTGGTCAGTCTGGTCTAGTCTAATCTTAGTCTGGTCTGTCTAGTCTGTCTTGTCTAGTCTATCTAGTCTGGTTTAGTTCTTGTTTTGTCTGTTTCTCCCTGGTCTGGTCTATCTGGTCCTAAGTCTGTCTGGTCCGTCTAGGTCTGGTCTAGTCTAGTCTAGTCTGGTCTAGTCTGGTCTGGTCTAGTCCTGGTCTGGTCTGGTCTAGTAGTCTATTCTATCTGGTTTAGTCTTGTTTTGTCTAGTCTGGTCTTGTCTAAGTCTGTCTGGTCTAGTCTGGTCTAGTCTGGTCTTGGTCTAGTCTGGTCTGGTCTGTTCGGCTGGCCTAGCTGTCTGGTCTATCTGGTCTAGTCTGGCCAGTCTGTTCTAGTCTAGTCTTGTCTAGTCTGGTTAGTCCTAGTCTGTCAGTCTGGTCTGGTCTGGTCTAGTCCCTGGTCTAGGTCTAGTCTATTCTAGTC